TGTTCGGGGTTGTTTCCTTGCACGCCGTGGTTGAGTAAGCAAGACGCGGAATTAAGGACAACCAACCACAATCTCCATATACCCTCGATTGGTTGCCTAATCCAGTAAACAGTCGATCCTTCAATGTGACATCCTAGTTCGACTGCATAACCGATTGCTAATATAACGGTGATAAGACTAGAAGAGCGCATCAAGAGAGGACTCTTGCCGAGTTCGAAGCTTCGGAAGTTTCGACTTGTCCGCTATTGACCCGATGCTCAGCTGAGCCGTGCTGCCAACGATGTCGCCAAATCAGTTGATGACTTGCTTGGCCGGTCGGGTTTAAGTATGACTTAACCCCTTCTCATAACACGAATTGAAGATGGGCATCAGAAGAGTTCGGAATCATGCCTCACTTTTGAGTTTCCTAAACAACGCCCCTTTTAACTAAATCAACCTTCCAAGTTGAGTCAGTCTGTGTTACTGCGCCCATGATTGATGAGATGAAGCTTCATGAGCTTGATGTTGAATGCGATTCAAAGAACGATTGAGAGCTTCTCATTTGTCAAGTGAATACTAGAAGAGATGATTTCCAAGGAGAATTAACTCTATCACGAAATTAAGGTAGTTCGTAATGGACTCACAGCCCCCTCATGTTCTTTGCCAGATACACGAGGCACAGCGTGCTGATGATGAGTGCTGGTGTTTTTTACCGTGAAGACGAAGTGATAAACGGTACGAAGTATTATGAAATTGGGGAATCCTACGGAGACTAGACAGACAGACTACCAAGAAAACATGGGCTCATTGAAACCGGACACTGTCATCCAAAATCAGATCTTGCCCGTCACACCAGGCTTGATGGCCTCCAGCTTCTGCACCAACTCATTCCAGGCACGATCTTGCGCCTCCTTTCCCTCCTTACTTCTCACAAACGGCGATGGCTCCTCGATACCGCAGTCAGACATGTACTTGCCGTGAGTATCGGCACCTGAGGCCCCGGCATGAACTAGCGTCCTGCTGCCGTACTCGGTCGTGCGAGCCAGGAGAAGCTTCATGATCCACAGGGTCCAGCCACCGGCCTCGCGTCCCAGCTCCGAGTGGCAGAGACCCGGGTTAACGCAGTTGACGGTGACGGGATACTCGGAAGCCGGGTGCATTTCTGCGATGGTCCTGACGCCGAGGACCTCGAGCAGCTTTGAGAGAGGGTAGAGCTTGCCTACGGCATCGTCTGAGGCCTTTGCCCTTTCCTTGATGGTGTTGTAAATCTCGCCGTCGGGGGCGGTGCGCTCCTCAAAGTTTGTCCAGGCGTGCACCTCGGAGGCGGTAATTGTGAAGGTAGGTCTCGTGTTGAATCTGGAAGCAGTCTCCTTGAGCTTGGGCAAGACGAGGGCAGTGAGCAAAAAGGTGGACACGACGTTGACGGTGATGGTGCCCTCCTCCCCTTCCATGTCCTTGAACTTGTTGTGTACCACACCGGCGTTGGCGATGAAGATGTCAACGCGCTCCAGCTCAGACTTGACACGCTCAGCAAACTTTTGGACGTTGGCGTAGCTGGACATGTCTAGCTGCCAGACGTCAATGACGTCCTTGCCGCAGCCGGTGGTGGACTCGATATCCTGCTTGGCGGCCCGGCCCTTGTCGAGACTTCGGACGGCGATGATCAACTTGCTGGCGCCGAGACGGACGTAGTGCCGGGCGGCTTCCTTGCCGAGACCCACATTGCTGCCGGTGATGATGATGGTCTTGCCCGCATATGAGCCGGTGGGATACGGCAGGGACTTGAAGAGCTGGCTATAGATGAAGCCCATTGTGTGCTGTAAGTGTAGGGTATAGTAGTGATTGATACGTAGATGATAGTGAAGCTAATGAATTCAGTTCTGATGATGAGAGGGGTTTCTCAATGACATGACGTTGAAAATCGCGTTTGGACGAAACCATTATATACTACCTATGGCCGCTTGCGACTTCATCCCAAGTCTATGACGGAGTTAGCAAGGGGGAACGGAGCGGAGACCGCGCGGACCAGTTCCAGATGGTCGGGAGGGGACTAAACTTTCAAAGTGCAAGTCGGGACGTAGATGGGGTCCGCTGGCCGGGCGCGAGCAACCTTAACTCCATGCCGTGTCTCAGAATAGCGCAAAGAGGCGTATCTGTCAATTCATTTCGTTGGCTGCCTTCTGCAGTGATGTTGAGCTAGGTAGGTAGACGCCCATCCTACTGGTCGGACTTGTCACACATTGGAAGAGTTTCAAGCTCCGTATGTTGACGAATTTGTCTATTGGGGAGCTCATGTGCATTTTGGGTGGTCGAGAGGGGGGATTTGATGGGCAGGGCACTGGGCATAGGTATCGTTGGCGGAGTTAAAGCGCTACTTGATCAGGCGAATTGCCAGCGAGGGCCTTCAGAACTACCCACATTTATACCTACGTAGAGACCTCAATGGGATTGGGAATAGTTACTGATTTGTGTGCCACAAAACTGGGCGGATTTCGTGCGAACGATCATTATAGTCAGGGAACCTTGTTGCAAGTCGCATGCATCGTAACTTGGCTGGACCACATCCAAGTGGCTGACTCAATTTCTCACTCAAAACCAACGACAACCAAGTCCTGGGAATGCCGTAAGCGACTTTGGCAATCTGGCCGCCCCCAGGCCACTCGTGTAATCTCATGACCAAAGGGATGGACCTGCAGAAATCTTCATTTTCAATGATCATACTCATGCCACCTGCTGAATTGTATGTGGTAGAAGAGCTCGAATATTCACACAACTACAACTTCACGATGATGGAAGTTGACAACGTATGTGTGAAGATGAGCGGCGCTAGCTGGATCCCTGAGATCTAGAACAGAAACGTGAAGCCTTTCTAACCCAGCTTCACCGGCGCATGTATGCCATTAAGTTGAGCTAATAGAACTGTCCGGTACACGAGCGCTTGAAGCCATCATGACTGAACGTAATCGCGTGTAAAGGCTCCCGAATGGTGTTTTGTCGCAAAAGGTTCCTGTTACCAGAGCGCCAGAGGTAGTGCCCGCACCCCCAAACAACCGCCTGTCGGCCGCTGTGCAAGCAAGCTTTGTTCGTTGCCGGCTCGGCCAATTTGCCCCGGGTTTAAGCACTAAACCCCGGATTTTGCGGACCTGGGCCCTAAAGACGCCAAGGTCCGCTGCGTCTTCAGAACCAAAGTCCCAAATGCTGCGACACTGCACAAGGAACGGACAAGAAAAGAGTCCGTCAATTGCCCGTTGCACTGTTTGGCAACTTTACGGTGGAAATGTGGCAGATTTTCCGTTGATACACCGGCTACGAAGCCAACTAGCCACCATCGTCTGACAAACATACACTCTACATCTGGCCATGAGCAATGGACATAGACGGTCTTAACAGTGTTTTACCACCTCGAAGCCACGATAATCAACTGAAGCCTGGTGATACTCAAGGTGTAAGGCTTCATGATGCGGATTTTACAACTATCTCCTCAGTACCCTAGGCCAGTGCTGATGAATCCACGCCGACGGTCAAGGTAAGATGGTCATTCAATGTCATGGAGGATTCAGGATGTTTGCTATATAACCATGCAATTTCAGCCGAACATCGTGAATAAGTATCTCATCAATTCACGCTCACCGCAACATCTCCAATCTTGACATCAACACCAGAATCAAAAGCACCATAACCCTCAACTTCCTTCAAAGCAATCACCATTCACAATGTTTGCACTTCCTGTTCCCGCCTCTCTTCAGAAGAGCCTTGACACCACCAAGGTTGAATATGTAAACCTGGGAACTTCCGGTCTTCGGGTGTCCGTTCCAGTGCTGGGCGGCATGTCCCTCGGGTCTAGCGAATGGGCGCCGTGGGTGCTGGACGAGGAAGCATCGCTTGAGATCCTCAAGGCCGCCTACGACCGCGGCCTCAACACCTGGGACACCGCGAACATGTACTCCAATGGCATCAGCGAGGAAGTTATCGGCAAGGCCATCAAGAAGTTCAGCATCCCCCGCGAGAAGATCGTTCTCATGACTAAGTGCTTCATCTATGTCGGCGAGGAGACGAACCTCCACACTACCATGTTTCCTCAAGAAGTGCCCAAGAGCAAGGACTACGTCAACCAAGGCGGTCTCTCTCGCAAGGCCATCTTCAAGGCTGTCGACGATGCCCTCTCTCGTCTGGGAACGACGTACATCGATCTGTTCCAGATCCACCGCTTCGACCCGACCACGCCCATCGAGGAGACCATGAAAGCTCTCCACGACCTCGTTCAAGCCGGCAAGATCCACTACATCGGCGCCAGCTCCATGTGGGCCACCCAGTTCGCGCGCATGCAGTTTGTCGCCGAGAAGAACGGCTGGACCAAGTTCGTCAGCATGCAGAACTTCTACAACCTCGTCTACCGCGAGGAAGAGCGCGAAATGAACCGGTTCTGCAAGGAGACAGGCGTGGGTCTTCTTCCCTGGTCGCCGCTCTACGGCGGAAAGCTGGCGCGGTCTGTCAAGGCCGAAAACACCAGCATCCGATCCCAAGGCAAGGGTCCGATGAACCCCGATCTCAGCGAAGCTGATGAGAACATCATTCGCCGGGTTGAGGAGATTGCGGAGAAGAAGGGGTGGAGCATGAGCCATGTCGCGCTCGCTTGGATCCGTTACAAGGGCGGAGTTCCCATCACCGGCTTCAACTCTGTCAAGAGAATCGATGAGGCATGCGAGCTGCGGGGCAAGACTCTGACTGATGAGGAGGCCAAATACCTGGAGGAGCCCTATGTTCCTAAGAACGTCATTGGTCACGACTAGATGTTCACGTAGCACCTCATTAGTAGCACTCAATTCCACATATTTGCTTCTTCATATAAGGCGGGCGCTTAATTGAAGGTGCTAGATGAATCTGGGTTGAAGTTATGCCACATGCCCACGTTGTGGAAGTGGGTGCTACTGAGATTCATCGACCCTGGAAAACTACCCTCTGAGATGTACTACAATTCACTGACATGTATATCTAGTTTCTTCCTGCTCAGGTGTCTGCGGTCAAACCCCACCTGGCGCATACTCCCTTAAGGCCTTCGCCATTGGGCCAAAGTCCGCCCCCTCAAGCACCGTCTCACTCGTCCTCCAGCCAAGCGACCACGGCAACCTTTCCTCCACGAAACTAGCATTGATCCAATCCCTTCTCGCTTTTCCATCCTCGACACTTCCTCCAAGCGCGGCCAGAAGACCACTCATCTGCTCAACTGTAGCCGCGACACCAGCGGCATCAAGCACAAACTCGGGATTCTCCTTCCTCGCATCCTCGAGTCTCGCAGCACCAGCCTCAGCAGCTTGCTTCCAAGTAACGAGCTCGTCAGGTAGTCTAGCCACGAAAGAATCCCAAATCGTTCTATTGAATCGCAGGTTATCGCCCAGCGCTAGGTCTCCGCGACTCAAGCTTCCGTCGTGATCCAGTGGCTTTTGCGCCAGGTCGTCGAGGTGGAAAGTGCCGTTCACACCCGTGGTGGAGTACTTCAGCGCCGCAGGGACGGGGCCCGCCGACACAGCGCGGGAGAAGTTAAAGGCTTGCATCTGAGCTATCGTGGCACTTTCACTTGAGATGAAGGCGCCGTCGCGGTTGATGTAGCCGTGGTTGGCGAGGATGTTGAGGGCTGGGCATGGCGAACGACGGTCGGTTGTAGCTGGAGGCATGTATGGGTGCTCTGGATCCTCGAACTGCGCACTTGCAATGGCGGCTAGTAAGAAAAGTGACATGCACGAGACGATTTGGGAATGCATGATGAGTTGTATTTGCTGTCGAGAGATAACGAAGAACAGAAGTAAAAAGAAAAGCCGAAGAAAAACGACCCCTGAATTTACGCAGCTGGTTCAATCGAGGCTCTCGCTCTCGACAGTCAAAGCTTCACAGCTCTATCGGAGGATCGAGTTACGCTCTGCCTCCTCTACTTATATTCTTCACCTGTCGCGAATTGTAAGGCACAACTCTTCAACAACACTAAGAATCTTGCAAATGGGGCCTTCAGGATGGCAGGCGTCCGTAATGAGAAATACGGGAAGCGGCATTGGCCGAATGGTTTCTCTGAAGCCCAATAGAGTTTCGATTTAATCTCGGGTGAATATTTCTGGTGCTCGGCGGCTTCGGCATACCACAGTCCTATAATTGAGTTTCGGTTACCCTGCAAACGCGGCTTTCGATATCCCAGGACCCATGGCTAAGTCGCACTCTCACCGCCATCTAAGTAAGTCACTATAAGAGCTTTTCCGATACTCGATGTGATCAGGAAATGGACCTGTGGAAATCTTCTCATCGTCATCAAACAGTTGGCAAAGCAGTGAGTCACTCTATACAGCCAGCAAAAGCTTGCAATTCTTGGTAAGACGGATGAATAGCTTATCATGTTCATCGGGGGGTTGGTATAATCCTATCCCTACTTAAAGGTCCAAAAAAGGGATGAGAAATCTGTATAGTTCAGATCAGCGTTACCTGTAGTTTCATAAAGTACATGTAGTCAGCTGATGGTTCATATCCCCAAAAGAACTTGGTGAGAGATTGGCAGCTCAGCAGGCGGAACTTGGGTGCCCCTCTGCAAGATTTATAGAACGCAAAGAGTCCAATCGCCAAGTAAGAGCACTGCAGAGTTACTCGATGCTGCATTATACATCTGGATACAATCGCTTGTGAATATACTTTCGTGGAAAACCAAAAGAGCCTCAAGACATGAGTCTTGTCCCATCAAGCCAATTGCTGATGACTTGGAAGATGTTACATGCCAGGCCAAGAGCCTCGAGACCTGACACGTTGGCGTTGATCCAGCCGGGTTTCCCTGTGCCAGAGAAATAGCCAGATCTGGATGATTGGAATTCTGTGGAATTTGGCCAAGTTTCGGGACAGTCGGATAGAGTAGTGAGGACCTCGAAGAAAGGAGGAGAAGTAGAGAAGGACGGACGTGGTGAGGCCAAGAAAGAGGACAGACAACGCATCGTTGGACTTAGAAGAGGGGTAGAATCTGCCCTGTCGCTCAGCCTGCATGAGGCAGCCACACTCGGCGGCTGAAAATCACCAGATTGGACACAGCCTGAGTTGAGGCAGCGAATTATGAACTGGGGTCCGCCTCATGCGGGTTGTCCGACATCAAAGGCAAGGCGCATCTACTTCAGGGGCTTGGCACTGCGCCAAAGCCCCAGGGCTCATGTCCATACCATCGTTCTGTAAAATACATGGTTGCCGTCCTGCTTTCTGCGACTGTGGTCCAGAGAGACTTGTATGATGAAGTTGCTCTCCATCAAGCTACAAGTCGGGACATGTAATTAGGTGCCTGGCTGTGATGAACAGCAATGATCAGTTTGAAAACAGTCACCTCATATTGCTGGTTTCCATGCTCGCATATGAGAGCCCGATCCTTTATAGAGACGCTCAACTGGATGACCGGTCAAACAACTAGCTTTCTAACCTAGGTCTCATTTGTAGAGCAGTTAAGTGCCATACCGGACTTTTGGTAAGTATCTTCGGACCCCAATGCATTGGTATATGCAGGATTAGGGTATGAAAATGAGTTGCCAATGCTCAAGGCATGTCAAAACGACGTGACTTGAAGAAATGAGACTAGTCCTGAGTCAAAATAGACAAGAAAGGACCCGATAGCTGGATCAATAACGACCAGGCTCAATAGTCACAGTATCTACCAATTAGTCGATTAGCTGGAATAACCGTCACGGAGAGACAGCTCAGGTGTTGTTAGAGCTGGAACATGGCCAATGTTTGGCGTTGCAAAAACTCTGTTATTCTTAATAACATCAAGTATTCGTTCTATTAGTCGCATATCTGGAGGTGTCTTCGACGGAATCGAAATCACCATGATGCCTTCCATTCGAACTGCAGTGAAACTAGTTGTGCCTCTCCGTGTCTATTGCCGTTAGAATAACTTCAAGATATAGACACTAAGTACTGACGCCAAGCAATAAGACCATGAAGAAAATCGTTGCACGACAGCAGAAGGTAAGCATGGTCGGAGTTTCTAAATTATTTGCTTAGATTCGCCAGCTGCTGCCGTCTAAACACATACCAAGCAAAGCCACTGACATGAAGTAGTCAGGACGTCACGCCAACAAAAATTTAATATTTATTCACACCTACCTTGATTCATGAAAATCAATCAAATTCAAATTGTCACGCAGCAGCAACAACCCATGTGGAAAGGGATTACCTTGTAAGCTTTGCCCATCGCATAACTTCACCACATCCCCAATCGCATCAACCTACCTTACCTATCAAAACCAAAAGGGCCAGCTACATCGCCAGAAACACATCACCGCATCCCCATTGTCATCACCATCAGGCTCAAAAAGGCAGATGCCAAGATCCCTCCAAGCCCTTGCATTTTTCGCCACTTTTAACCGACGACTACCGGCAGGAAAACGGGAGCCGGGGAACGGACCCGAACCAGAAGTGTTAGGCAAACACGACAAGGTAAAGCAGTTAGACCAAAAAGCGCCACCCGACAAATAAAAGCTGCAGGTGAGCCGATTCAGGAAAGTCAAGCTCGCTGTTGGCATCGTCATTGAGCTGCATTGTCACTGAGAGCACTTACGGCAGGCTCTCTTGGAAGGTGTCACGGGATCGCAGAGGATGCACGCAGATCGGTTAGTTCAATTGGCAACTCCTCTGATCTTCACATTTCTGCGACAAGTAGATTGAGTAAGACCGGACTACTCTAAGTATTGATTGGGAACTGATTTACAGAAAATTGGTTATTCTAGCTCCTGAGAGTGGCGGGAAAGAATCTGCACCGGACACTAACAAACACCAACCCCGCAATCGAGAATCGACCATGACAGAAGCGTGTTGCTAGCCCGACGGCCACACAAAGGGAGCTTCTGTAGTGTCAAACCCTCGCCTGGGACTTGGAAGTCGGTGCACACTCGCGCGTGACCTAATTCTTTGTAGATAATGCTTGTGCTGGCGAGGCTGTGTAGAAAGGAGTGAAGCACCGCACAACACCGGTCCAACCACTCGGTTTGCCCACCATGCCGGCCTGTCGCCTGTGAAGCCTGAGGAATCCTGATCGAGGAACTATGCAGCCATTGAGTGCCCAAAGTCTTTCTGTGGCTCTAAGGCGAAGGCACGGCCATTGCATGGTAGCAAAAGAATCGGGTGGCTGATCCTTCGACCTGTGTGCTTCTAGCTGGCAGGTGACAAGCCACGAGGGAATTCGATTGGCTTGATGCTTAATAGCTCAGTTCTTCTGCAATTGAGCACCTCGACTTGGCGCGCTGCGACGCTTTTATGGCAGCTACCCCAGATCTGCATTGTCTCAATGATCGAACCAGTCATCACGACAAAGAGAACCTCAACCCCGCGAGTAGAGAGACGGTGAAGTTGGAGGATGGGTGGGATTGGCGGGAGGCAAAGGTTAGATACCATAGCGGCACTTGGATGGAGGGCTACGTAGCGGTGCGGCACTGCGGAAGGCCAACGGAGCCGGCCGCCGGTCGAGATCAGTCCATACCAAAGGTGTTAGTCAAAAGCTCCCATTAGTCGGCGGGTTGGCGACAGGTCAGTGACGACCACGACAAGTTCCGAGGTTCGATGGCGGTGGTGCCGGACAGGGGTCGAGCTCGGACCTGGGCACAGCTGCACCTGACTACTACGCTAGAATCCGGTGGTTTGGATCCATTTACACTGCCTATCGATCGTTAGCTTTGGCAACCAAGAGGACGGGCATTTGGAATGGGGGAAGAGGCAACGATCGTGCGTGCACGGCGCCAGCATCATCAGTCAACACCAAAGACGCGGGTCGGCGTTGCCACTCAAGGGCCCTGCGACTCACGTGTCCCGAGAACTCGGGATGGGCTGGGGATGGCCTGGTTGCTGGGATGGACGTGCAGCGTACCGCAGCCTGTGCTTTGCTTGTGTTCATGACGGCCCCGTGCGAGCAAAACAGCGGATGAACCTCAGGCCTGGATCGAGACACCACGTGACGAACATCGTGTGAGGTTCACGGTTCACGGTTCACGGTTCGGGCTGTGTTGGCAAGTCTTCAGCAGAGATCTTGGGGGTAATTTTTCCTTGGAAGTGCCCACCAGGGGTAGCAGGGGTGTTTAATGATAGGTTCTCCGCAGTGGAGAGAGAATCTGGACGTTCGTGGTTTTGCTGGAGAGAAAAATCCTTCCGAGCGGAGACCGACACCGTGCCCGCGTCCGGAGACCCCGTGGAGTGACAGAGTTTGCGGTGCGGTGACAATCAGTCGGTCTATTGGTACCGGTCTGGCGGTTTGTACGCTTCTTCGTATCTGTAGTTCAAGTTCGAGACGAACGGTGCGTCAGAGATCAGGCGGCCGGCGAAAACGCGGTCGTTTTACCAGTTTCCCACGGGGAAGAACAAAGAGGAGCCCTGGAGAAGAAGCACGAGGGCGGTGGGCTGGGGAAAAGAATCGAGACCAAGCCCAAACTCGGCCGGAAGCCGAGGCGATGAAGCACTGAAGCAGGCAGGGCAAGGCGACGCGCCAGTGTTGACAGGCCGCTGTCGTGATTTCGGGCATGGTTGAATGGGGCCGTCATCAAAGACGGGCCGATATCACGGCCGTGACAGGTAAGAGTAAGCACCTGGGTACGGAGGCCGACCAGGGATGGCTCGGAAGGCACCCACTGGCGAACAGGCGCCGGGGGGGGGGGGGGGGGGGGGGGCCGGGGGGGGGGGGGGGGGCGGGGGGGGGGGGGGGGGGGGGGGGGGGGGGGGGGGGGGGGGGGGGGGGGGGGGGGGGGGGGGGGGGGGGGGGGGGGGGGGGGGGGGGGGGGGGGGGGGGGGGAGGGAGCCCAAGTCTGGAGCGCCGGGGATGGAAAACTTGTTGGTCATTCGGACTTTGGGCCCTCTTAACAGCAACGCGCGCTGACTCGGGTGGGGTGGTGGTACGACGTGACTCTTTCGATTATAGGCGGTGACTTCGTAAGGACGGCTGTTGTGTACGGCTCATTGAACGATGAGCGCGAAGCCCCGAAAGCACCCGCGGAATCAGACGAGCAAGCGCGCGATCTGGCGGAAGCAACGTCGTGATTGGGTACCGGCTTCGTGAAGCTGGAGATATGGGGTTGCTTGGAGACCCCGATATCTCCAGGCGGAGAGAAAGAGAGACAGACGGCGTCTGAAAGTGCATGTGAGGCGATCCACAACGGACAGGAACTCGGCCAAACTGGACACCAAGACGAAGTGTCTACCATAGTAGACTCCGAATAGAGAGATCTATAGGTAGTTAGCGCATCGAGTACCACCGAGCATTGTCCCATTCAGGGCCGGGGCCGGGGGATTGGAGGAGAGATGATGGGGAAACTTGGGGGAAGAAAAAAATAAGTTGGATGGGAATGGGGAGAAGTTGGGGGAGGGCGTGAAAGTGCGGGATGAAGATGGGATGGATTGAATGGGGTTGCATCCATCTCATGCAGTCCGGATAGCGAGATGCAGCAGCTAGCAAAGCTACTGTAGTTGTAGGTTTTGGCGAGGTTGAATGGCCCGAATAGCTTCAAATAACCGTCTAAGCGAGTTCGATTGTAGGTGTTGAAGCCTGAAGATGGCTTAGTTGAACCAAGAACAGTCAAGCGAGCTTCACACAAAAGCGTCGAGAGCTCTAATTATCGTAAGGCGTTGTAGCTTGTGGTACCCGCGGATAGGGAGAGACGTGTTGGAGGGCTGCAGGAGAGCATGCGGGAGAGCCCTTGGGGCTCCAAACGTTGCGGCTTGAACTAGGGTCGCCCTTAGGATCGGAATCCATACCTACTTGTTCGTACAGCGAGCATACCGGCCGACATGTGCCCATCCCATCACGAACGAATGACCTGGCGGATGTCGGCGGCTGAAGAGACATGGCGCTGAGCCAGATGATCCGTCGAACGACGACAGTGGAGATGTTTGGCCAGGGGAAGAAAAGCCACACGGGCGCCTCGTGTCTCGATTGCTGACAGTTAGAGACCGCAATGCTGCCGTGATGTCTGAGTCCAGCCGCAGATTCACCACCCAATCTCAGCGCATCGCATCGTGTCGCAAAGCATCGCCAGTCACGGGGGCTTGCCGCAGAGGCACAGCTACCTAAGGTAGGTAGTAGAGAAGGGCGCGCCAGAGTCGGACGCAGGCCGCCTGCGCGAACGAATTAGTGATGCATCATCCAATTGCCTGACTGAAAGACGCGCCGACGTGGAAGGCTGCGAGCAAGTCAAGGCAAGACATTGGCAATTCCTTACGAAGACTTTCTTCCTTCTCGGAAGGATGACGGGGCAACAGGGACCGGGGGGTTTTGGGCGTGTCATGTTTTGGGATTGACATCTGGGCGAATCGGAGGGAGGAACCGGTGGCTCACCAGACCAAGACTCAAAAGGAAGGGCCTGAGTCCTGACACCTGGGGGAAGATGTGGGAAGGAAGGGAGGCGGCGGAGCCAATGAACGCCACAAAAAAGTGACCGGGGAAGATACTTCGGTACTTTGCCGGTACGTGCTCTGGAGATTACTGTGGAGCGACAATCTGGCACCAACTGGCAAGAACTAAGGATTGGACCTGCCCTCAGGACGGCGCTGAACGCTTGTTGCCTGCCTCTTCGGCGCTTCTATGGCGCTTTCCCCAAGTCCCTATGCCAAAAGTCTCCAGTCTACTTCTCCACGGGGGCACCTTTTTTCAATGGAATTATGGAATTATGGGAATTTCTTACTTTTAATCGTTGGGCCATGGCTGTGACAGGCCCACTGCGTCTTATTCCCACGGGACAGGTTCATGTCGGATAAAGAATACCCCTCGGGGACCCCACCAAACGCGGGTGAAAGTAACCCGAATGAAGATAATCGGGAGTTTTAGGGGGAGAAAACTCTGACACTCTTGTTCTGTAGGCCATTTGTTGGTGAAAATTCTGAAATTGCATGAAGCGATCGTGAGATTCAGGAGGTCATCAAACATAAGCAGGTAACTGCACCTCCAAATTAGTCCACATACAGTCAAACACTCATACCAAAACCATGTCAAACGGCGACGATGACTGGGCCAGGACCACTAGGCAAGAAAAGGAGAAGGCATGTCATCACTGGACCACGGCCACCGGGCGCTTGGCCAGAAACGGGCGCATTTCATCAAGTCTGCCGTTGTCTACTACCTAGGAGTCTAGGACTAATACGTACTGCATGCCTGGCCCATGTTCGTCGTCGCCGCTTTCCTTCCCTTCCGCGTTCCCCTCCCTGCGGCGTGGATGAGTAGTGCCGTGTCGATGACATTCTTGGGCGTCCTCAACTCTGGAAACTCTGGAGTCTGCAGAGAGACGCGCCTTGGTATGCAGATTATCGCTGCATGAGCTCGGGGCCAAGCTCGGCACGTTCTGACTTGGCGCACAGCTGGCCCCCTCCCCCGCCGTAGTCCTGCGCCGGCCATGGCCCACCCATGGGGGAGGCAAAGTGTCACGCATTTCTAGATTCCAAGACCTCTCCAAGACGGGGTTGCGTGCGGGCGGTTCGTCTATTCGGCGCTTGTTGCGATGCAAGCGATGAAAGCATATCGAACTACTCTTGTCAGGATCGTCAAATGACCTCGAAACGACCGGTCCGACTACGTGACACTTTCCTCGTTTAGACTTTGGGGATTCCAGCGCATCGTTTCCGGTGTGCAGGGTGTAAGGTAGGTAGGTAGGTAGGTCTTCAATTAGACATCTTGCACACTCGTGAGATTGCAACCAAAGACAGACGCGCCGAGTCGCGACTTGGAATCTCTTGCTGCAGCCTACCAGAAGTTCAGAACCATCCACCAACACACAGCGGCAGAGACCACCCGTTCGTCTGGTCCGTTTGCTTGATCTCCAGTTGGCAGATTCTTTGTCAGACCCGAGAGCCCGAGCCGAAGGGTCGAGACCGGACCCAGATCAGCAGAGCCCCAGTGCTTTTTTCTTCGAATTTTCATCGACCTGTTCCAACACGAGCCGAACATCGGGTGAAAATAGCAGTAAACGGATGGAACACGAACAGAGAAAAATCGTGTCGTGTCCCGTGCCCACGCTCTTCTCCGGCGCAGCGCAAAAGACCTGAACTGCCAGAACAAACAGCAGAGCCGGGAGCGGTCAAGGGTCTGGATCGAGCCTAGCGTCGATTCATCAGTAAAAAAAGGATGACCAAGTCTCCAGGGCCCCGCCCCGCAAAACGCCACGCGACGGCGAGACAACGGCGAAATCCATTTCCCCAGCTTTTTTTTTCTTCCTCTTGGTCTCTTTTCTGCTTGGGGCATTTTGGGGGGGGGGCCTCGGTGCTTGGGAAAGAACCCCCGTGACCCGGTGGCTGCGCTCTCCATGTTGGGCACGAAAGGGGGTCCCCAGGGGGCCAGACAGCTGAAGACTGGAGTCCCCGGGCCAGTGTGGTCTCCCCCAGTTATTGTTCCCCAGTGGCTAATTTTCACGTCCAATTCCAATAATCGTGTGTGCTAATAGCCTACCTGGGGGAAGGGAAATGTCTTGCCCCTTTGACTTGTCATCCCCTCTGGCTCTCAGTTTTCCAAATGTTTTAGTGCTTGTAGTGGACTGCCGGTCATCGCGCGCCACTGACGAGTCAATCTGTCCACCAAGGTAGTGGGCATCGGCCGCTAAACTACTCTTTCCTCTCCTGCTGCGAACCTGGCTAGTGAGGCCGTGTTCAGTCCAGATCCGCCTGGAACTGATGATCTGATGGTTTTGGTCCACCTGGAGTCATTGAATTCTTACCAAGTGGATGATGATGCTTCTGCTCGAGTTCCAATTCTTTTCGGTTCATGTACCTTTTCTACGTGCTACAGGAGCATTGAGTACCTTACATTTGCATTCTTTTTGCTAGGGAGTCGCTCGTTCCTTCCCGCCCGTCTAGCATATCTCATTGTCACTCGTCGGCTGCCGTGGCAGGTGCTCCCCTCTAGCCGACGGAAGTCCTAAAAGTCAATGGCAATTGGGGAAGGGCCTTTTCAACCACGGCGTCCTTGTTTCCCCAAATGTTCGCTCCCACATTGGCAAGAAATTGAATGCCCAAACAAACAGACCACAAATTAAGGTGACATGCACCTCGAGCTCTGCATCCTCATCCTCGTACCTGAAGAGCAAGTACGACCGCAATGCTGAATGGCACCTTGAGGTAGCTATCGTCAGGCGAGTGAAGAACCTACCTAACCAAGAAATGGAATGGAAAGAAGGAATAAAAGTACCTTCCAGCCCAAGGACCATTGTGTGAGACGGGAGGTACCTCCCACATCGCGCGCTAACCTGGACGGGGAGCAGTTCCTTCCATGTACCCTTGGTGCCTTGTACCTCTCCTGGTCTCCCATCTGTCTGTCTCTCTCTCTTTCTCATGACTGTTTGGCTGCCACCCCCGTCGTCCTTCCCTCCTTCCCCGTGGCCTGCCCGCCCCGCGGCCCCTTCCCAACTCGTCGGGAGTCCCCTTCCCACCCCCCCTCGTACGCCGTACCTTCTTCTTAGTCTTCCACCCCTCCCCTTCCCCCTCGGCCTCCACGCCTGCCCAAAAGTTATCGGCCCTATTAAGCATGAGCTAGCAGGAGCTTCAATATGGGGACGGCTAACCAACGGGGCTAACCCAATGGGAACTCGTTCTCGATGAACTGTGACCTGCAGACCCTCGGAATGGGGAGATGAAGCACCACACACACTCACACATACACAACACTCCTCTTCACCACGTCCATACGACATAGGCATAGGCATACCTAGGCGTAGTAAGGTCTTCTTCGACAACACGGCAGCCTGCTCTGCTCTGTTTGAGTCTGACTGACCCATACGCATCGGCCTGGCCTGTCGTCTCATTCTCATTCCCCATTCCAGACCCAAGTCTTGGTGTCACACCCCCCTCCCCTAGTAAGGTATCTCCAATTCCCCCCCAGTTCTCAGTCCCCAGTCCATCAGTCGGTACTACCACACACACCCCCATGCCAGACAGGCGGACTGACACGGACGCAGCTGCGTAGCATTACCTTTCCCTTTGCACCTTCTTGGACGTGACACCAAGACTGATAAAAGGTCCTCGTCTCGCCCTCACTTTCTCACTTGTTCCCCTCCCTTCCTCACGAGCTTCCTCGCCAACAACTCTCCCGACAAGCTTCCTCTCGTCCTCCCCTTTCCCATACAATCAGCTCGGATCATCGCCAAGCTCCCGAGGCGAACAACAACAGCAACAACCTCCACAATGGAGAAAGAAACCGGCGTTACGCGCGAGCCCGTCCAGGGCCTCGCCGTCACCGACAATGTCGACCAGATCGAGGCCCCCGTCACATGGAAGGCCTACCTGATCTGCGCCTTTGCCTCCTTTGGAGGTATCTTCTTCGGATACGACTCCGGTTACATCAACGGTGTCCTGGGTTCCATCAACTTCATCGAGGCCGTCGAGGGCAAGGGCGCCACCGCCATTGGCGAATCTGACACCTCCCTCATCGTCTCTATTCTTTCCTGCGGTACTTTCTTCGGTGCTCTCATTGCTGGTGACGTTGCCGACTGGATGGGTCGCAAGTGGACTGTCATTCTCGGCTGCCTTATCTACATGATCGGTGTCGTCATTCAGATGATCACTGGTGTCGGTTCCTCCCCTCTCGGTCCCATCGTTACCGGTCGTCTCATTGCTGGTATCGGTGTGGGCTTCGAATCCGCCGTTGTCATTCTGTACATGTCTGAGATTGTAAGCTTTTCACACTGGCGCCCTCACGAATCCCCTGAGTATTCCACTAACACAGTTCCATAGTCTCCCAAGAAGGTTCGTGGCGCTCTCGTCGCCGGATACCAATTCTGCATCACCATCGGTCTTCTCCTGGCTGCTTGCGTCGTCTACGGCACCAAGGACCGCACCGACACTGGCGCCTACCGCATCCCCATCGCCATTCAGTTCCCTTGGGCTCTGATCCTCGGTGGTGGTCTCATGCTCTTCCCTGACTCCCCCAGATACTTCGTCAAGAAGGGCAGACTCGCCGATGCCGCCGCCTCCCTTTCCAAGCTTCGCGGCCAGCCCGAGAACTCTGAGTACATCCAGGTCGAGCTTGCTGAGATCGTCGCCAACGAGGAGTACGAGCGCCAGCTCATCCCTTCTGCCACTTGGTTCGGCTCATGGGCCAACTGCTTCAGCGGTTCCCTCTTCAAGGCCAACTCCAACCTGCGCAAGACCATTCTCGGTACTTCCCTCCAGATGATGCAGCAGTGGACCGGTGTCAACTTCATCTTCTACTACTCGACTCCTTTCCTCCAGTCCACCGGTGCCATCAGCAACACCTTCTTGATCTCCCTGGTCTTCACCCTCGTCAACGTCTGCTCCACTCCCTTGTCCTTCTGGACTGTTGAGCGCTTCGGTCGCCGCACCATCCTTCTCTGGGGTGCCGCTGGTATGACCATCTGCCAGTTCCTCGTTGCCATCATTGGTGTTACGGTCGGTTTCAACCACACCCACCCGGACCCCAACGATGCCACCAAGAGCATCGCCAACAACATCCCCGCTGTCAACGCCCAGATCGCCTTCATCGCCATCTTCATCTTCTGGTTTGCCTCTACGTGGGGACCCGGTGCCTGGATTCTCATTGGTGAGGTCTTCCCTCTGCCCATCCGCTCCCGCGGTGTTGCTCTGTCCACTGCCTCCAACTGGCTCTGGAACACCATCATTGCCGTCATCACCCCCTACATGGTCGGTGAGAAGCGTGGCAACCTCAAGTCCTCTGTCTTCTTCGTCTGGGGTGGTCTCTGCACCTGCGCCCTGGTCTACACCTACTTCCTGGTCCCCGAGACCAAGGGTCTGTCCCTGGAGCAGGTTGACAAGATGATGGAGGAGACCACTCCCCGCACTTCCGCCAAGTGGAAGCCCCATGAGACCTTCGCCTCCCAGGTTGCCCGCAACGGCGTCCTCGACAAGGTCCACGTCGACAACATTGAGCGTCGCACTTCCAACGTCTAAGTGCGCGTCTATCTAATGTCCATTTTCACTTTTATCTATACCCCTAGTATACTACCCGTCTTACCGGGTGAATAACCTGGGAGGCATCTCTGAAGTTGGGTCCAATTTGGACACATCTTAACAACTTGTAATGCGAAATGTTGATGTGGAATGCATGGCGCGTGGGGGATAACATAGTCGTCACGATTGTGACTAGTTTACACTACCGCTCGAAGATAACTGTTAATACAACTAAAAAAGTTGAATACGATACTCTCCGCATTTGTTATTCAAGTGATTATGCTTGACAGTCTGAGTTCTTTACAGCGAAGTACCCTCGGAGAGTAATGGAAACAACAAAACATTGGAGTAAGATGACAAGTACATTCATTACTCATGCACCCTGCTGGGTATTTTTTCCCGCTCAAATATGGCACTACGTCGGGTTGAGGCTTCGGCAGATCGTGGTCTTGCCTGAACTGGGGCAAGTTGAGCGGGTCTCGGATCTCTTGGCTGCATTCTGCAGGGACGGGGCTCCCGAACTGCAAGCTACTGTGTAACACTTGGGGGTACTTGGACACTTTTCGAGGTTCGCGAACACCATGAAGAGATTGTGCGGGTGATATCATATGACTCTTTGGACGTTTATAATTGAAGTGGATTGGAAAGTACCTTTGGGTCCAGCCACATGCGTGCTTCATGTGGGTTGCTGAAAGGCAAACCTCCAAGTTGGTCACCAACCTTTCGCGTGGGAACGCTTCATATGGCTGTTACATGAGGAGGTGGAATGGCTGGCTCTGGTTTCCATAAATACTTAGATTTCGATTGCTCTGGATATTGACCAACCAGGTCCACTGGTTTTCTTTTGGGTTCGGGTGCCCTTCTCCGCCTCCTCACAGGCGAGTTCAGGTCTGTCACTGGTATACCTAACTAGTAATCACGCCACATCGTCTAAGTAAGCTTGCAGTGGTAGTGGTGAGTACCTTTCAGGTCTCGGCGAATATTTCGTACTTGATTTCTTCTCGAAGGCGGAAGGAGGGAGCTTCTCCTTAGGACGTATGTCTAGTAATTGGGAGATGGATGATTCTCAATTGGCTGTCAATGAGCGTGCCTGTCATGCGTTCTGCGTGCGTGCTACCTCAAGGTCTACCCCGAGGGATGCGTATCATAGTTAACCCAGTAGAGGGTGTGTTGGCCAGCCCGGAGTTACTTCTTCGACACATTTTTGCCAGCCACGGCTATTGTGCGGCACTTTATTGCTCGAATCAATCTCCTATAACTTTCTCTTAGGACCGAAAGTATGCTGACCACTCATCTTCTGGGCACGGCACTACACAACATCGTCATCATTCCTCGAAGGACGTAACGGATAGACGTGTGATTCGAACGCCCAGTACCCTTCATGCAGAAGGAGAAGCCTTCTATGTACCTACATGTGGGTTAAAATCGAGCGCCATGCGGCGCCCAAGGTCCCTCATACCGCCACCCCGTAGCCCGCCTTGTGCTGCACCCTGTGAAAGAGCCGCTGGAGCGTCTCTCGCATGCGCTCGAGATCACGCGCCTCTCTACCCCATCGCCCCAGAATCCTCAGCGCAAGCCGCACGAGAGACTTCCAGTTCGATGGCGGCTCTACAGGATGGTTCCCTGCCGCGACGACCGCGAGGACCATGACGGCGCAGGAGAATGCGCGGCGGGCGACGAACCAGCTTCCGCCGTGGCGGTGGTGGTGCGCCGTTTTGACGATCATGGCGGCGCAGGTGTCGACGGCTTTTTGAGCGAGGTGGATCACGCGCGGGTTCGTCAGGTGCTGCTGGCTCTGGTCGTGTTGGCCACGGCCCTGGGTTCCGTGGAGGGCGCAGTAGAGGAGCGGGCGGAGGGTTGATTCGCGCCATCCTTGGAAGCGACCTTGGAGATAGAATGCGAGTTCGTTTTCTGGGTAGTTGTGTTCGGTAAATTGGATCAGGAGCGGAAGATGGGAGTGTCTGGGAGACGTGTAAGTTGGGCATTCGGCTGGTGTGGTTGCTGTGCTGAATTCCTCGGAAATTTATTCGCGCTGCTTCGAGGTCCGCCAAGACTGGGGAAATCAAGTGGAGGACTCGGTTTGGGGGCACAAGAAAGTAGTCCGCACGGATAACATGGGAAGGCGGGGCAGAAGTAACTGACAATTGCGAAATTTCCTTTTCAAACTCATCGTATTGTCGGACTAATAAGTCCTCGTTCCTCAGCCAGTAGGCCTCGCCTTTTCGGTATAACACGGACATGGTGTTTTTGATCGTCCGCCGGAGGGAGATCTCGGCAAGGTAGTAAAGCCAACTGCGTTCTTCTTCCAGGCGTTGTTGAGAGTCTGAGAATGGGGACCAGGCGTAGTCTGAGGGATTCGCGGGTGTCTCGTTGACGCTGATGGTGCACACCGTTGCCGTGGAGAGTGTTGAAGGAGGCGCAGGGAAGGAGTCTGGGTAGGTGAAGTCCTCTAGGCCGCTTGGTCGGAGACCCAAAGTCGGGAGGATCTCGCTGCTTTCGTCAGTTGAAAGACGCCCACCATACGGTGACAGAGAAAGGGTAAAGGTTACTCACTTCTCAGCCTTGAAGCAAGACCAAAACAGTCGTTGCTCCAGGGGCTGTGTCGGCTCTTCCCGTCCACTGGGCCCCCTCCATGGCCGTCGTCCTCGCCGGAGCAAGTGAGCTTGCAGTCGTGTCGAGGCTTGCTGGATGTAGAAGCAGGCTCGTAGTGGCCGAAGGCGGCACTTTTCGTACATGGAGGCCAGGAACAGACATTGTATGTCAATGATGGAGGGACCTAGAAGGCCGATGCGTTTGGATGCTGCGAGGTAGTACGCCTCCGCGATGCCGCAGTCCTGTGGTTCAAGTATTGGCGGGAGAGGAGTCTCTGATACGTCGATTTGGGTCATGGATGCGGTTTCTTGCGGTGGGATCCAGGGAGTTGTTAGACTTGCCAAGGCGCAGGCGAGGAGCTGTTGGTTGTGATCAGTTGCTAGGGGCGTTGAAGGGGTGAATTGAGGGCTCTTACTACAAGACAGGATGGAGCATCCCACTTGATGCCGTACTCAGTTGCTTGTTTGGCGTAGGCTATTAGTTCGTTGCTCTCGAGGATCGGGTTACGGGGGTGAACATGTGTGAGAAACTTCCGGCAAAGGGGGACGAAAGCATCTTCTTGGATACCTGATCCGTTGACCGTTGAGGAACTGCTGGGCTGATTTAGACCATTATCGGCCATGTCGGTGCCGAATTCCAGGATGAAGGATTCTATTCGTGCGTCGTCCTCTGGTACGATGCCTTCGAAGATAGGCCACCGGAGCATAGACTCGCAGCGGAGGGCCGAGTACAGCGTGCGGGTAGCTTCTTCGCGGTGCTGGTCATGATCTTCCATGAAGTAACCATGAAGTTCACTGTTTTGCCCAAGCTGATGAACCTGGGTCCCACCTATTTGATAGGTTTCCGCCTGAGGTACCTCAGCTTCCACCAACGCCGGCTGGTCTTTCGAGAGGCTTCTTGTTCTCTGCAGCAAGTGTTTAATCTCATCTAGTCTTTCCAAGATGACTGAACTAGCGATGCCTTCATCTTGAGCCTGGGCAGCACTAGCTCCCATCTCTCTTCCTTCTTCATCTTCCCCTTCGTCGCCGTACACGCAGGTCGCATGGTGATGTCGACAGAACCCGCACACGGGATGGACGTTGTCGCATTTCGTCTTGCGAAGACGGCAGAACTGGCACGCTGTTGCTGCGCGTTTTCTTCGCGTGAGATGGGTTGCTGTTTGCGTTTTACGTCGTTTCTTGCTTGGTGGACCGGCTCTGGTTGAGATCGGTGGAGGTAGACTTTCCACTTCTGGTGATGCTGATTGTGATGAAGAAGCTGCAGATGCAGCTATCGCTGTGGACGACGTGCGACGCTGGCGTGTGCGCTGCGAGATTGCGTTGTCGTTGCTAATAAGATCAGGAACGCGCATGATTGTGTGCGTCAGTTTCAGGCCGGTAGGGATCCGGGTCAGTGGCGGATGGTCCGGGGAAAGTACCTTCGGGTACGGGTGCTTGCCTAAGGGCGTGGTGGACGTTCCGGATTCTGGTCCTCCGAGTGGAGAACCGAGGGACGGAGGAAAGAGGGGCCCATCAATCACGACATCGGCACCCCAAGTCCCCTCCTCAATTCGCGTCCCCATTGTTCGGCCCCAATTTCTTAACTCTTATTTCCGCGGCCATTTTGTCCATTCCTAAGATGGCGATTTTTTGCACTCGACGTGGTGGGACCCGCTTCCCGGGTCCGGGACGCGACGACATAAGCAATGCATATTCGGGCCAATACCGATTCGATGGTGTCCAATCAGCGGTTATGTGAACCGGATTGACCTGCCTCACTGAGCATAGCACAGCTATCATTTGGAAAGTGAAGGGTCTGATGTAAGACGTTTTCTCACCATGGCGTACATGGTGTCACAAAACGAAAGTCCCTTACACAGCTGCGAGGCTTGAAATACTGGGCTGATTCGCATTCTCTGTGAATGTCCTGGAAGTTGGACTGAGTCGACCGCAATATATCCCCAAAACCCGACTGTATGGCGACTAACACCAGTTGTCCTTTGGGCAGCGATGATCAATTCGGCCCTCGCATTGACTACAACTGCCGCCACTTTGACTTCACTCTCCTTTTTGAAGATGCTATCTTTCACATTCTCCCTTCGGCAGTATTTCTCCTGCTCATTCCATTTCGAATATTTTCCATTGCACGGACACCGGTGAAAGTAGCCACTTACAGACTTGCCTTGTGCAAATTGGTGGGCCTCGACCTGAAGAACTCCCTTCATCCATTTCAAAGATACTAACACTGATGTAGGCTCTCTTGAGCATCTTAACTGTGCTTCATCTCAGTTTCGTCATAATCAACATCAGGTCATTAGCCCCCCGCGCGACAGCTTCACTGGCAGCGGGAATTCTCAACTTCATAGCCGTTTTCGCAGCTGCTTTTCACTCGTTCCTCGAAGACCAACGCTCCACTCGCCCATCCGACTTGCTCATACTCTACTTCTCAGCCTCTGCCATACTCTCACTACCGCGCCTCAGAACTCTATGGCTCATCTCCATTGCCGGAGCGTCCAGAGGTCTCTGGACTGCCATCATCATTCTCACGGTCCTAGTCGTTCCCTTGGAGTCCATCGGCAAGAAGCGATTCTTGCGAACAGAGTACCGAGCTCTTACGAAAGAGGAAGAAACTGGCTTCTGGGGCCGCAGCTTCTTCACCTGGCTTATGCCTTTCTTCCGTCTCGGCTACTCGCGGGTCATTCACATCCGGGATATGCCGGAAGTCGACAAAGACCTAGCTGGAGATAGAGCAGGGGCAAGCCTCGAGGCCGCGTGGTCGAAGCGCAAAGGGCAAAAATACCACCCTTTGATCCGCTCTGGCTTTTACGCATATCGCGGGACTCTCTTCGCCGGCGTCATAACGCGTCTCTTTCTCACAGCGTTCACGTTTTGCCAGCCATTCCTCATCACGGCGACAGTGAAATTCATGCAGACGCCCAAGACGCCACAGTCCGAGAGATATGGGCAAGCACTTGTCGGGGCATATGTTCTTACGTATCTCGGTCTAGCGGTCTCCCGAGCTGCATTTTCCCGCCACCAGTTCCGCTTTACGACGATGCTTCGAGCAGGGCTGATGTCCATGATATTCAGACAGACTGTCTCTCTTAAAGCAGATGACTTGAAAGATAGTGCTGCGGTTACTTTGATGGGCACAGATATCGAACGCATCGTCCTCACGTTCAACAACCTTCATCAGATTTGGGCTGCCGTTCTGGAAGTTGGCATCGCAATATTCCTCCTGCAACGTCAAATAGCGTCTGCATCTGTAGTACCAGTCGTCATTTCTATCGGTAGGTTGTCCACGAACTGCTCTCTGCTCCGCAATGCTAATGGAAATGTCACAAGTCTGCGCTTTTGGCGTCATCCCGGTCTCTAAGACCATTGGAAGGGCACAAACGGCCTGGATTGAACGTTTGCAGAAGAGAGTGGCAGTCACAGCCTCAATGCTGGGAGATATGAAGTCGATCAAAATGCTGGGTCTCTCAGGCGTGTTGTCAACCACTATCACAGAGCTGCGACGTGTTGAGTTAAGGACGTCTGAGAAATTTCGCAAATTAGTACTCTCTCAGATCCTTGTTTGTAAGTTCATCAGTATAATTGATCTCTCATTTCAAAGCTAACCTTTTCGCAGCAAATCTTCCTGTCGAATTTGCGCCTTTCGCAACATTTGTCATCTACAGTATAATCGCAGTCATCACCAAAGATCAAACATTGACGACAACGAATGCCTTCACCGCTCTGTCTTTAATCGGCCTCTTGACAGAACCACTTTTGCTATTTTGCCAATTCGTGCCTAACATTGTACAGGGGGTGGCTTGCTTCAAGCGCATCGAGATATTTTGCCTCAAAGCACACGAAGGATCACTACGGGAACACCTCACACCTCCAGCGCGCTCTTCAGTCACCACTTTGAACAGGACAAGCATCGAGCTCGCGGACCATTTGACGCAAAAGTCGTCGGAAGGAATAATAGCCTCATTCTGTAACGCAAAGATCTCCTGGTCGCCTGATTCAGACATAGTCTTTAAAGACCTATCCTTGACGATAAAGAGAGGCATCACCATGGTCGTAGGCCCTGTTGGATGCGGAAAGTCTTGCCTTATGGAGAGTATCCTCGGAGAGACATCGCATAGTGCCGGGACCAGAGAGCGCATGGGTCACGGTATCGCCTACTGTGCGCAGACTCCGTGGATGATGAACGACACCGTGAGAAGGAACATCACTGGTGGTCTCCATCATGATCCGAAATGGTTCGACCAAGTTTTGTGGCTGTGCTCCTTGACTGACGATGTCAAGAATATGCCTGGAGGAGAGTTGTACAACATTGGCAGTAACGGTGTCGGCTTGAGCGGAGGGCAACGACAGCGTGTGGTGAGTTGGAGACCCCTTCCTTTCGAAAGGCAAAAGTATGGCCATGTCTGACGTTCTCGCAAGGCACTCGCTCGCGCGGTCTACTCCAGACACAGAGTTGTAGTCCTAGATGACGTCTTCAGCGGCCTTGATTCCAAAAGTGTCAGCCAGATTTCAAGCCGTCTCTTCAGCAAGGATGGTCACTTCCGCCGGAACGAGATCTCCATCATTCTTGCGACTCACACCAGTAAGACTGCCCACGGGGAGAAGTTGACAGCAACTCGGAAGTTTTCAGCTAACGGCACACAGGTGCGCTCATTCGACATGCAGATGAATTAATCGTTCTCGCCAATGGTGAAGTCCTTAGTCAGGGCCCATATGAACAGGTTGTTGCTAGCTCACCTGAATTAATCACAAAATCGAGATTAGAAGATGACAATAATCTTCAGAGGGGTGAAGAGTCAGAGCAAGCTGAGGAGGCTGTGAAACCCACACAAATCCAGAGGACCCTGGATGCCGAGGAAGACAGACTGCGCCAAAACGGTTCTTGGTCAGTTTACAAATACTACTTCGAGCGAGCTGGTTGGGTAGTAGTTGGCTCGTTCGTCTTCGCCACTTTCACCGAGGCATTTTGCAGCGGGTTTACAAGTAAGTCCTCAGGGAATTATTCTAATTGCTCCTATCGCTCAAACATGCGTCTTAGATATCTGGTTTCAATGGTGGGTAGAAGCCAACGAAAAACGGCCAAATGACAACCTCGGTATGTATCTTGGGGTTTATGCCTTTCTATTTGCGATGGCATGCATTGGACTTTCCGTGGAATGCTGGTAAGACCTTGAAAGACCTTGATTTCTAAGGCTCAGTGCCGCTGACCATTGCTGGCAGGCTCCTCTTCATACGGATCATCAGCGCGACAGCCATGAGTCTACATGGTGATTTACTGCACACAAGCTTAAGGTAATGCGAGAACCGACCCCATCTTGCTGTCGCGTGTGCTGACACTATCTAAGAGCACCTCTTAGCTTTTTCCAGTCCACTGATACAGGTTCAATCACCAACAGGTATGTGTGCCTTATAGCGACGTTTTACTTTGTAGCTAAGCGTGAGTTTGACCTCTTCGTAATCTAGATTCAGCCAGGATCTTAATCTGGTTGATGTGACTCTTCCATCCAATGCCATTAACTTTGCCTCGAGTAAGTTTCCTCTCTTCAACACCTTTCTAGCTACTCTTTTGCTGAGCTAACTCTTTCAAAGATGCTTGTGCTTGCATTGTGAAGCTCATAATACTATGTGTCATGGGCAAGTACTTGGCGACATCCGTGCCTCTTCTAGTAGGTGTGCTCTTCTTCGTTCAACGATACTATCTCCGCACCTCTCGCCAGGTCCGTCTCCTCGACATCGAAGCCAAGGCCCCAATCTACACCCACTTTCTTGAAACACTCAAGGGTGTTGCCACTATTCGTGCCTATCAATGGGAAGGGAAGTTTGAGGAGCAGGCGACAAAACTCCTGAATACGTCACAGAAACCCCACTACATGCTAGCCTGTATACAGCAATGGCTCGCGCTCGTTTTGGATCTCATTGTCGGGGCTCTGGCTCTCATCATAGTCAGCATGGCAACTTCCATTACCGATAAGTTTTCTCCTGGAGCAATTGGTGTTTCCATGGTCTTGGTCCTGGGGTTCAACAATTCTCTTGCGACAACAATCAAGAACTGGACTGCTCTGGAAACTTCAATCGGTGCTGTGGCCAGAATAAGAGAGTTTGCACAGACAACGCCTTCCGAGGAGCGTGAGCTGGGAAGCTCCGGTGTCCCTCCTGAAAGGTGGCCAATGCAAGGCCGCATCGCCTTTGAGAGCGTCACTGCGAGATACACAAAAGACGGAGATGCAACTCTGAAGAACTTGTCACTTTCAATATCATCCGGCCAGAAGATTGCAGTATGCGGACCATCAGGCAGCGGCAAGACCTCCTTTGTTCTCTCACTTCTTAAGATGATTGAAGTTACAGAAGGGAAGATTTCTATCGACGGCATTGATCTCGAAGGTCTGGAGAGAGCGGGAGTACGTTCACGAATCAACGTCATACCTCAGGAGCCATTCTTCATCCCGGGCAGCGTCCGGTTCAACTTAGATCCACACTCCCGCGAAAGTAGTGAGACGATCAAAGCAGCGCTCGATAAAGTTGGCCTCCTGGGCAAGATCGCTATGGCAGGTGGTCTGGACAGCGAACTAGATGCCGATGGGTTCTCCGTAGGGGAAAGACAACTTCTAGCTTTGACGCGCGCCCTCGTTGAAAGGAGCCAAATTTTGATCTTGGATGAAGCTACAAGCAGGTATAGACTTTCCCCCAACACTCGCATACCATCCATCAACTAACATTGGTTCAGCGTTGACCAAGACACGGAAGACAAGATGCAGCGAATTATCGAGGAAGAATTCTTAGAGCAGACTGTAATCTCTGTCATACACCGTCTGAGATTCATCGAAAAGTATGACCGGGTACTCCTCTTGAAACAGGGAGAGGTCGTGGAGTGGGATTCCCCCGATACCTTGCTCGCGACCGATTCCGAGTTCAAGAAGCTTCTAGCAGCTACGCAAACTCTGCATTGAGAAACAAGTAATAGAATAGAGGCATCGTAGAGACACTAGGCAATTTCAGAAGTTGGTTCAGGGAGGCAATTTGCAGTGGGCTTGAAACTCCACCTATGTTAACCTTGACTTAGCGGTATAATCTGAGGTACTACCAAGACGAGCGGCAGGAAGGCAACAGCCGGCTGATCCATGCTCCGTCCCGTAAGGGTCGGATAAGTTGCGGGTCAACATGGTGCGGGGTACGTCGGCGATTGATGACGGTGCTTGGGACCAGCGACGGAAAGTTGATGTCAGTGTTCAGGGACAAATCATACATGGCGAAAGACACTTAGAACTCTCAATTACTATCAAGCAACGAAATCCAATCTACTCGCGAGCAAATCCAAGTCTTCATAGAACTCCCCTGGACATGGCGCGGAAGATTAGATTAGGAATTATCACACCTTCTTCTAATACTAGCCTTGAACCTCTCACACAAGCCATCATCTCCAGGCTTCCGGATGTCACAGTTCACTTTTCTCGTTTTCGAGTTCTGAAGATCAGCCTAGATGAGGCTGGGCTCGACCAGTTTCAGACCGACAACTTGATCTCAGCCGCGCAGCTTTTGACCGATGCTGAGGTTGACATGATCGGTTGGAGTGGTACTTCGTCGGGTTGGCTGGGGTTTGAAGCCGATGAAAAGTTGTGTGCGGATATCACTGCGGCAACAGGAATTCCCGCGACGACTTCTGTTCTCGCGCTGAACAAGGCCTTGCAAAAGTTTGACGTCAAAGATCTTGGCTTGGTCACTCCTTACACAGATGATGTCCAGGAAGCCATCATTCGGAACTATTCACGTGTCGGAGTGAGTTGCCAGAAAGAACGACATCTAGACCTTACGATGAACTCGTCTTTTGGTCGCGTCGACGAAACTACGTTAGACGGTCTCGTGAGCGCTGTGGCGGCTCAAAGACCAGAAGCAATGGCAATATTCTGCACAAATCTGAGAGCAGCTCAGAGGGTGGCTTTTTGGGAGGATAGGCATGACATCCTCATACTTGATACCGTTATCACAGTCATTTGGGATATGTTGCGAGAATCCAAGGTTGACATGAAACCCTTGGGTGATTGGGGAAAATTGTTCTCAAAGTAGTAAAGACCAGTGACTGTTGGTACATGCAGGTATAATTTACATAAGGTTGAGAAATATTTCTAAGGAGCTGTGTGAAGACCTGGTCTTCGCGCTACAACACGCGCTTCGTTTGACATCCAGTCGTGTCATCATAGTCCGAATGGAAGATTGATCGGAAGTCCTCCGCCAAAGGGAATATTGACGGGAAGCCTACCGCCGTTGTTATTTCGGCCACCAAAGGGGAAGCCTCCGCCGACAAAGGGAGTATTGTCGAAGTTGACCGTGTTTGGCCCACGTGAGTCGGATGTCCATGACCAGGAGCGACTTCCGTCGCCACCAATATCGATGTTGACGTGCACTCTTCTTCGCGATCTGTCTTCATTTCTGTCATCATCTTGCTCGTTTCTTTGCTGATCTTGTCGTGAATTTTGGCGCCTCTGCTCTGGTCTGGAATTCTGTCGCTGCCGGCTATTGCGTGTTCTTTGAGGCTCTGGCCTCGGCTCAGGTCGCCGTGGTACCTCTTCATCAAAGGAATTATTTTCTTCATCATCTTCTGGTTGCTCATATCGGCGGCGTTGCTGCTGCTGCTGTTGCCTCGGCGGTGGAGGAAGTGGCGGCTCTCTGGGTGTTTTTATATCACCGTACATTCCGTAGATGCTGTCCTCCCAGTTCTTATTTGGTTCGGGCTTCTTTTGTTCCCGGCGTGACGGGGGTGACCGAGAAAGCTTTGGAGGTTCTGTGGTCTCCTGACTGTAGCGCGAGCTCTCATCAGTTCTGCCCGTACTATATCTGGCGCTGCTCCGATCAAAGTTGTTGCTGTATGAGCTCGTATATGGTTGGCTCTGCTGCGAACCTGGTGGCGTTTGGCGGACCAGGGCAGTGGAAGGCGGGAATGGAGATTGTCCGGGGCGAGGATTACTGGAGTTGCCCATACTCCCATTGGAGCCTGTTTTGTTGCTCATTTTCTTTTGTTTTACAAGGATAATTAGCTGTCGACTCTATTGATTGCAAGCAAGAGTATTATCTATCCTGTAGACTTTGGACTTTGCAATCGGAATTTATCAACTTAGACTACGGTATGTTATATCTTTTGCAGCTCTATGCAAAGCCACGCCCAGGCAATGATCTGGTTGACAGTGGCGCCATAATCCTCCGACTCAAGATTTATGCGTTTCATGATGTCTTATGGGGCTGGCGAGAACTTGCGTTTCCTTATGGATGGGTCGAGACCTTACGATGTTTGTGACTGAACGCGTTTGAGATTCTCCCTGATGATTCGGATCAGCGAAACATCAGACCATGACTTTTCCAATTTAATGTGGCCTTGCATCAGAAAACATGGCTCAATCAGTTTTCCAGAAGTCTTCGATCTGCGCATTGTTGGCGAACTGATTTCCCCTGATGATCTGTTGTCATTGTTCAGTGTGAGGTGGTTGGAACAAGGTTCGATCCCTGAACCAGGGGTCATTTCCGTCCGATGCTCCCTAAGGTCCATCCCATCATCGACCCATTGTAGGGCCCACCCTTTATGTCGGCGCCGAGAGTTGGACGCTCTAACCTTTGATACCTCTTGGCTTTGGAAAGGTGTCTGGTAATTTGATTAAGATCATGTGCAATCCTCATGACCACTTCAGGTTCTAATCCTTCTAGCGAAAAAGATTTTATTGCCGGATGTAATGATTGAAACATAATGAATGACAGGCAAAGCGCTCTTTTCCACCCCTGGCTACAAACCCCCTTCGCCAACTGGCGACCAGCATCAGGTTCGAACCCGAATAAGTTTCCAGCCGAACAGACACAGAGGTAGCAATTGTAGAGACACCGGGCTGCTGTAGAGCTTTTCTATGAACCCCAATGTGAGTGAAGTCGCCGACACAATGTTTGAGGTTCATCAGAGCTGGGTCGTCATTTATTTCCACCACATGACGAAGGAGTTGTCAAACTGGAATCTTTCACCTGGCTTGATGGCCAGGCTGTAGATCTCATCCCAGCTAATCCTCCAGGGGGAGCGCTCCACCCCGGTAGAGACATCCTCAAACCCGGCGAAGATGAAGTTAGGGGCTTGGTAGTATCAGCTGACTGTGAATCCATTTTGGTAGCTGAGCACTAACCGTTGGGGAAGGCGGCGTCGAACTGCAAGAACAGTGTATGGATGTCGTTGAACCAAGCGGTCACAGCGACGTTGACTCCATTAATGACGAGGCCGGTGACGATTCTCTTGTAGTAGCCGTTACCAGCCTTGAAGATGCCACTCTGGTGGTCGTGAGGCCAGACTATGATGTGTTAACGGCCCTTTTCTTGGCTGAAAACGAGTGGACTGACATACCACGACGCTCGAGCGAGTTTTCAACATCATCAGAAGCTCTGGCTACGACAACTTTTCGATGTCAGCTTGTATAAGCGCTGGAATCTCAAGGCTTTTTTACCGTCAGCGATGTTGACATCGCGAGTCTCGTGAGCCTGGAGGAAGCCGAGGTCAACGATGGTCCTGCCTACATCATTCATTAGATCTCGATTATCGATTCTTGCAGGTAAAGCTCACTTTCAGGCTCCCTGTCGAGGTTTGCCTCGTTCACGTCAGGAACAGGAGTGGCTGAGGCAACAGCCAGCAGGAGAGCGATGGTAGCAGCGGCGAAACGCATGGTGAGCTTGTAGATCTAAGCTAGATGAAGCGAGTGGAAGTTGATGAGATAATGTTTGAAAGTGAATGTGATGATGTGCTTTTGAATGCATAGCTGTTTCGTGGCGAGCTGAGGCCTACCTTTTATAAAAAGTTGCAATGGAAGAGTGTTATGGCAGTCACTGTGCTTGAAAATAGCTGCATCTTTGCAAATGCTCCGTCTAGAGCTGACGATTACTGAACTCGGATATTGCCTTTGGACTCACCATTGAGGCAATAACTTTCACAAGCTTTCCTAAAAAAGTGTAAAAGTTGCTAAGCTTCTGATCGGTCCGGGCACAATCAAAAGTTGCAAGCATCATGTTTGAGACCTGGTGGGTATTGGCTATGCAATAGTTGAAGTTTCGCGAGTCAGCAAAGTATGAGTTCAATGTTGTATTTGTGCTCTATGATTTGCTCCATGATTTTTGGGGAGTGGACTTACCGATAAACGCGGCTGTTTGCTGACTACAAGGTCCGCACTAGTTGAACGTCACGCAATGTTTAAGTTTCCCAGACAGGGCACTCAATTATGCGAATCCGTGCCTTAAGTCGGCCACGAAAGTTCTTTGCTAACTACTGGAATTAAGTGTCCGGTTCAGTGATCTGACCCAACAATGCCAAAGATAATCTCGGGTCTCCCGGCTGAATTTCTCTAAGTCATCGCTGCCATTACTTCCTTTCTATTGCTTGATATGCTTCTGTACGAGGCACCCAGAATTGAAGTTTGCGAAGACAAAAGTGCCCATGACGTTCGCCTCACTTCTCGGGGAAATCAGAGTTCGTGTGGATACGAAGCCCTTTTGGCTAAATCGTACATTACGCTAGCACCTTTACGATACCATGCAATTGCAGCACCCAAAAGCTACAGTAGTCAACAACAGATGCGATTGTCTTCTACTGTTGTCTTGAGGCTGGGTTCTCTATATCGATCAATATGGCGGCAGTCGGCATGTCTAGCAATTTACCACCAAGGTCTTTGCCGCGTCTAGTCAAGTCAAGATCCCTTGCGTATCTAAGATCTAGCTTTACCCACCCCTTTATCAAACTTCAAGCTAGGGGTACTTGGCCATGTCATTCATCAGCCTTCAATCGCGATGATTTCGGTCTTTTGATAGCATCTGTGCTACTAAGCTACCTCAAGCAATCAATCATCTTATCCGGTCAGTACCGACTAGAAAGTTGGTGAGAGACAGTATCCACACACTATATGCTTTTCGCAGTCTGCACTTTGGTTTAGTCACTTGCCAAATATGAACTCTATCAAAACGTGCTGACACCATGGCCTGAGCTGTGCTTGCCAACAAACCCATTCTAGTTGGAAATCAAACAGATTAATCCAGGCGCACACGGCGACAAAAGTTCTCGTATACACAGAAGTTCTGTCCATCATGCTCCTGTAGTTTGATTTTCCTGCTGCCAGAGATTGCGATCCATGAAAAGGAAATTTGATCTCAACCCCGGCTATTCAATAGCCGTGATGCGAATGCGAAGTACACACGATCAAAGAGAAGAAAGAAATGCAGACATCAAGATGGTGCGTACTTGAGTATAATAAGAGTAAAAGACCGCCGAGCATTCTCACCACTTCCGTTCGTCTCATCATTCAAATCAATACCCAAGTGTCTGTATACCACTTTCGCATCATCTCGATCTCAGGCCTTAGTCCAAAATGAAGGTTGCTGCTGTCCTCGCCTTCGCTTTCCTGTAAGACCGCACTCGCCCTTCACCTATTACAACTCATTGACTGACAACATCTTTAGTGCCCCCAATGCTGTCTCGGCTTGGATGTGCAACTGCCGCAACAGAGAGCAACCCAACATCAAGGTTGCCCTCAAGTTCTGCGGACCTGGCTTGGGTCACACCCGCTGCTGGAACTCGAAGACCAACGTCCAAGCGGTGAGATATCTCAACATGATGCAAGCTTCGCGCAGGTACTGACGTAGTCATAGTGTATCCTGAACAACCCCATCACCCAAGCAGATTGTGACGCAAAGTACGGCGGCAAGGGCGAATGGGTCGCTGAATGTGAGCACTACACTGGTCCCTGCCCTCCCGGCATGACCCAGCAGTGATTCCTCTTCACTGCATCAAATACATGTTCCAAAGCAGCATCCAAATCACTTTATGACTGGTAGAACATGCACTTCAATACACAAACTGGATCTTCTTAATGGTCTCAATGCCCTATGGTCTTTGTAGAGTATTAAGTTCAACGTTTTTCACCGGTCGTGGACGTAGCTGTTGTCTGTGTTGACCTCGGTGGGAATCTTGAATCACCCTGCATGACCTCTCTAGCAGTCTTAATAGATGGATAAAGATACGCATTAAATGGCATCTTCAACTGGTATTTTACTTTGTG